ATTTAAACTATAATATTATGTTCACATCAATTATAAGATGCATCCCAATTTCAAAGAATGTAAGTAAATGTGTGAGTTTAAAAATATAAAATATACGAGTAGTAAATTTATATTAGATTATAAAAATCAGAAACCAGTGGAATGTTTCAATTTTTCCAACTAAAAGCTCAGTGATATGTTCATTAGTACTCCTGCAATGATTCACTGACTTTATGTAATTTAAATATGCTTGTGTTCTATTATACCACTATATGACTTGGGAGGATTCCTCAGGGCAGAAAGTTAAAAGCCAGATGCCTTCAATTGTACCACACTGAGTCTCCAGGTCAGGCAGAATAATACAGCATTGTGTGTGTGTTGCCCTCAGTCAACTGAATGATCAAAGACACATTGGCTAACTTTCAGAAGGGAAACATGAGGATAAAGAAGAGATCTCAAAAAGAACATGGTTCTAACTGCTGAATCATAGACTTTGAGTTTATCTTATTTCCAAAGGGGAAAGAATATGCCATCCCTAAACTGGATATGATATCTTAGTAATCCATTGAGCATCTATCAGGAGATAGAAGCTATAATAAAGGTCAGCGAAATATAGCTCCTGACTTCAAGACCCCAGACATGGTACTCACAAATATCCTCGGAAAAAGAGACAGCAGCCATTTATTATTTCCTGACTTCCTAAAAACCTCCTTGCTTGAGAGCTCCTAAAGCAGCATTTTGGTCATTAGTTTGCTGCCACATGTGTGTGAGTGTGTGTGTGTGACTTGTAGGAATGAGATAGGATATCTCATATCACCTGGGACAGAATCCTTACTTGCCTTTGAAGCTAGTAAATATTTTTAGAAAATATTCCAAGAAAGGAAAAAGATTGGTATAATCTAGTTTCCATCTGTGAATACTCTGGTTTGCTGAAATGAAATTAGCCTAGAACCAACGACTTTATTGATTTCTATTAAAATCCAAGTATAGACCAGACCTATTAAGTAAGATGTCAAATTCAAGGTGAAGCCCCATACTGCCAAGTATAGTTCTTGTTTAAACTGTACAGAGAAAAAGTTTATACGTGAGACAAGGTTTGATGAAAAGGCATAGTTGGCATTCCCAGATTTTACTTCCTTTATTTTTAGGAATATTCTTAAGCGAAAGGGTCAGAACTGTGCTGCACAGAGATGCTTACCAGCCTGAGGGGAGTTCTGAGATTTAAAAAGACCAACAACTCCCTTCCCATGGAATCCTCCAGATCGGAGAAGTAGAGTACCACTTCTTGAGTTCTTCCAACATACAACAGGCAAGCGATTATGTCGATAGCAGCGGGCTACTCTTGGTAAACTACTGTCCTGTACAGCTTGAGGTACTACTAAAAGGCCAGGATAGCTTCAGGGACATGGAAAAGAGAAAGGGAACGATTGCGGGAGTGGGATGGGGTAGGAGAAGGGGAAATACATGGGAAGAGGTGAAGAGAGAGAGAAAATATAAGAATATGAATATCATAATAATTTTATTATATTATAATATTATATTATAATAAAATTATATTATAATCATAATAATATCACAGTAATTTTCTAAGACTCAGAAACACATTGGTTAAGGGATAAGAGATATATTTCAAATATGGAGCTTAGTTTCAACTCTTCAATTCTTCAGGAATTGAGAAAAAAAGGCCTAGATGGTGGAAATAGCTAACTCATCCACTGATCGGTAATCTTTTTGTGAAATGAGCTCCTTTCAGTGATACTGTAAACTTTTGCTGAATAACCTTAGCCTAGAACATAAAAATATTATGTAGAAGTATTAAAAAAGTCCCTTGTTAAATGGATCAATGTCAACTTTATGAGGATGACAAGTTAAATTGTCAACAATTGATAGATCACCACCACAACAGAGGATGGAGTACACCAATATTAGATTGCCTGAGATAGTGAAAGAATTAAAAATCAAAACCAAATGATTTTTGGTATGAGAACAATATGTTCAAATGTCAAAATGAGTTCAAATATTTTATTAACACTTCATGTTGATATTTATTTTAAAAAAATTAGCTCATAAAGTTACAGGATATCATGCTGGAAAAATAAATAGATAAGAGTATCTTGTTTGATTAATAAGTGCGAGAAGATAGGCAGGTTTCAGAGAGTAAATTCTTCAGTTTATTGAGAAATATTACACTAAAGAGATTTCATATTTATAAGCTCCCAACCACTATTCCTGTATCTCTTTTTCTGGTAATTTTTTGATTGTGGTAAAATATACCTGTCATAAAATTTACCATGTTATCCTTCTTTAAGTGTACAAATCAATGGCATTAAGTACATTCACAGTGTTGTACAATCATCACCACTATCCATTTCCAGAACTTCTAATCCCTTATCTTGATATAAACCAGTGCTGAGAGGAGGGAGAGGAAATTCAGTTTATGGTCAAGTAAATCATAACCTTCAAGTACTTTAGTGAATGCCAAATTAACTTGCCGTACTTAACCGATGATACTTTGGAAACATTCTGAAAGCCTAGCACTTTGGTGCTCTAAGTTGTAGCCTGTATTTTTCTAATACCACAAATTGATAAGAAGACCAAGCTGTAGACGTAATCATTCATGAAGACTGGAATTGCATTCCATTATTAGGACCCTCTATTTCTACCTTTTTTGACTTCTCTTCAAATTCAAGAACACTCTATTTCCAACTCCACTTTAATATTTGTTTTTTTCCCTGCTTGCTTCTAGATACAATGATAATGTGTATTAGATAAGGGAGTAATGTTTAATGGCTCCAGGAGCTGCTTCAATAGCTAGAAAAGAACCAGTGCACTCATTCACTCCCTGCCCTCCCTTAGTGGGCTGTCCCCTCCTTCCTCTGGACATGAGCACCACAGACTATGCTCTGCTATACACGTGATCTAAGGCTCTCCTGCTCTCAGACATGGGCTCGAGCTGGATAAGCCTTGGTGCTGGGGCAAATAGAGTTGAGCCTTAAGACCAATAAAGATCACTCTCAGTACCAGCCTCACTTAGTAATGCAAGATAACAATTACCCTGCCAACCACCCTATCCCACTATCCAGAGCCTTCAGCTCTGAGCTCCAGAGTGAGCCTCAAGAGGTGCACTGGGCTTCAGAAGCTGCTGTGGAAACTTTTAAATCATAGAATAAATCACATAAAAATGCCCCAAACATGCATGAATTAACAGAAAAAGAAACCCACGTCACTACCAGGTAGGTCAGGAAATGGACCATTGCCGGCATCCAGGGAGATCCTCTCATGTTTCCTCCAAATCACTATTTCTCCCTCTACCACTAACCTGACTGCTAACAATATGGTTGAATTTTATTTTTTTTATTCAAAAATTTTTAAAATTTACTTGTATTTATTTGTGGGTACAGTATGTTGTTCCAGTACATGTATATACTGCACAATGATTCACTTAGGGTAGATAGCACAGTTTTGTACCCATTAGTTGTTTTTGAATTCTAGATAAAAGGAACCAATAGAAATCATTCTTTCATCTGTCTTCTCTTGCTCAACACTGTGTTTGTGAGACCCATCCATGGCACTGTCTGAGCTGTAGTTTGTTCATTTTTACTACTGCATGCATGGTACCCATGATGTGATCATAATACCATTTACTTATATATTCTGTTGTTGATTTTGAGTAGTTTCTAGTTTTTGATTATTAAGAATAATTTGGCATGAACAGTCTTGTAGATGTTGTTTGGGAGCACATATGTATTCCTGTTGGAAATTCTATACCTCCTAAGAGGTAATAGGTTATGAATATGTTCAGTAGATGTTAAGTAGTTAGGAGATGCTGGCAGACAACTTTCCAAAGTTGTTGAACCAATTTATAATCCTACCAGCAATAAATGAGAGTTCACTTTGCTTGACAACCTTACAAACATTTTGTATTGTTGCTTTTTAAAATTTTAGCCATTTTGGTAGGCATATGGTAGTCTCATTTAATTTGTATTTATCTGAAGACTAATAGGTTGAGCATCTTTTCAAGAATTTTTTTTTTGGCACCAAGATAACCTCTTTTGTGAAGTACCTGTTCAAGTCTCCTGACATTTTTTGTTTCCTTTTTACTTTGTTAATGATATCTTCTGATGTATAGAACTTCTTAATTTATCAATTTTTTACTTTATGGATAATGCTTTTCCTACCTCTAGAGCATGAAGATATTCTCCTATCTTTTGTAAGCTTTATTGCTTTAACCTTTTACGTATAGATTACAGACCGATGGGAATGAATACAAATCCTTTTGTGAAATTTTTGAAGACTCCTCATATATGTAGCAACATTATTGAAAAAACTTCTATCCACAGCCCTTAGTATAACCTTTATCTTAAATCAAGTGACCATATATGTTGGAATGTTTCTCTATTCCCTATTTTGCCCCATTGGTCTGTTTGTCCATCCTTGTGCTTATCCCAGTCTTAATTGCTGTAGCTTTATAAAAAGTCTTGATGTCCTGTAGAATTATTCTGTGAGACTATCTCGACTGCTCTTGGCGTTCTACGTTTCTATACAATTCTGAGAATCGTCTTTTCAATTGCCATAAACATTTTGCTGGAATTTTGATTGGGACTTCATTGAATCTATAGATCAATTTCAGGAGAAATTGCAGTTTTAGAATATTGAGTATTCTAGGCCGGCCCGTGGCTCACTCGGTAGAGTGCGGTGCTGATAACACCAAGGCCACGGGTTCGGATCCTATATAGGGATGGCCGGTTTGCTCACTGGCTGAGCGTGGTGCTGACAACACCAAGCCAAGGGTTGAGATCCCCTTACCGGTCATCTTTTTTAAAAAAAAAAGAATATTGAGTATTCTAATCTAAGAACATGAAATATCTATCTATTTAGATCTTTAATGGTCCTCAATATTGTTTTGAATGTTCTGAGCAGAGGTGTTATGCATCTTTCATTAGATTTATTCCTAAGTATTTCATGGTATTTAGTGCTATTGTAAATAGTATCAGTAGTACCAAAATAGCATCACCTTTTAAAATTTCATTTTGTAATGACTTGTTTTTGTTTTTGTTTTACTAATTATTGTAAAATGACCGTGCACCAGTGACCTTACCAAATTTGCTTATTAATTTTAAAAGTTTATCTGTAGATTCCATCAGATTTTCTACACGTACATTCAGGTCATCTGTGAATAATGACAGTTTTTTTTCTTTCTTTCAATCTTTGTACCTTTTATTATTTATTTTTCTAGCCTTTTTATAGTATCCAGGACCTCTAGTACAACACTGAATAGAAGGGGTGACGGTGGATATCCTTGTCTTCTCCTGATCTCAGAGAAAAAGCGCCCCATATTTTAGCATTAAGTCATTTTTGCTGTAGGATTTTTAAGGCACTTACCGGATTAAGGAGCTACCTCTTTATTTCAAATTTGCTAAGAGTCCTTTTTCTAAAAATCACAAATGTATATTACATCTTATAAAATGATTTTCTGTATATAATAAACTTATTACATATTTTTTCTTTTTAATTCTGTTAATGTGGTGAATTATAATGACTGGTTTTCAAATGTCAATCCAGTTTTGTATTCCTATAATGAACTCCATTTGGTCTTAATGAATTCTTGCCCGAGAAATAAACCTTTTGTCATTATGAACCATCCTTCCTTATTATTAGTAATGCTTTTTACCTTAAAGTGTACTCTGATATTTACATAGTGATAACAGCTTCTTTTTAAAGGTTGTTTTGCATGGTGTATTTTTTCTATCCTTCTAATTTTCTACCTTCTTCTATCCTTGTATATAATATATGTTCCTTAAAAGCAGCAGAAAGCTTTAAACAAAACTCAAAACCCTGTTAACCTCTTTCTTTTAACTGCAGCATTTAGTCAATTTACAATTAGTTTAATTACTGATATGTTTGAATCTAAATCTACCATCTTACTACTTGTTTTCTATTTGTTTCATCTGTCCTGTGTTCCCTTTTCTCTCTTATTTGCCTTCTTTTAGATTATTTTTTATTATTCCATTTCCTTCCTTCTAATTGCTTAGATATATATTATTTTATACCCCATAAACACTTTATAACAAGGGTTCTACCAAGTTGTATATAACATTTTATTTTTCTTTCTGACAGACTGAAATGATAAATGATGTCTATTTTCTCACTGGCAGGCATAATTTCGATAGCAAGCTTCCCGAACAGCAGGACATCACACCCTAATACCACCACTTACAGTTATCTATAAAGAGAATTTAGTCAGAATGATAGAGAATCCCAGATAAATTACTGTGCGCTCAGAATCCCAACTTTAAGTACTCCATGCAAAATGTCTATTTGGCCACAATCTCAAACTATATTCCCAACTTGTTTCTCAAGTTTCACATTGGTATTTGTAAACTTAAAGTGGCATTTAAAATGACATGGCTATAGTTCTTCAGGAAAAGCAGGGTTGAAACTAATAGTAACATTAAGACAGCTTTCTAAAATATGTACAATGCTTCTAATTTATAAAGTTCTTTCAGAACTATTTAATCAAAGCAGGAATTTATAAATGCAAAAACAAACAAACAAACAAACAACAAACCCAACTTGCCCAGAGATGAAAATGACTAAAGTTGTGAATGGTGGAAATGCAGTTTTAGAAAATACACATTTACAAATAGTAGGGCATGGAATAGGGCTTAACATATTTGAAAAACAGTAAGAGATGACAAGAATAGGAAAAAAAGTGTTCGTTTACATTCTTTAAGTAATATCTCCTTGAAAATATTCTAATTAGATAGTATAAGAAAGCCCTGCCTACACCTGGGTCAGCAAATTACATAACCTATGGGCCCAAACTGGCTACACTCATTCATTTCCTTACTGTCTATGGCTACTTTTGTGGCCAAGGTGAGTAGTTGCAACAAAAGACATATAGCTCGCGGAACGAAAATATTTAAAAGTTTGTGGATCCCTGGTCTACTGCAGACTTTCGTCTCTCCTATCTGCCTGAGTAAATCCTATTCTTATTCAAGTTATTTTCAGGTATGCTAGAAAAGAGGCAAATGGGGAAGAGAAGGACAAATAAGGGAATCCATAAAGGGGACAAGAACTTTACCATTCATCTTCTGAACTAATATGGGCACCTTTCAGTGATGTAATTTTTCTTCTGGGAATTCTCATGAGACACTTGCTCATGCTGCATAAAAAGTATCCATTAAATACATATATCCGTGGAGGTCTTGCTCCTATTTTCTGGCATTTTCATCTATCTCTGGGGCTATTGATATAAACAGCCTGTCCAAGGATCAAATGGGAAGAAATTAAAGAAGGCTCCTTTCTGGAGCCCATTGGTAGACTTACCTCCGGCAGAGTGAATACATCCTGTTGGAGGCAGTAATTCGAAAATACTCTGGTTTTGAACGGGAAGAGCTGCCACTTATGGTTCCCAAACCTAAACGCTGATAGTCTCTGAAACAAGCTCTTTCTACTAACTGTTCCATTGTAGACTTCTCTGAGGCCTTCAGGGTGGTACTTGTAGGGAGTTCGCTATCATCTGAAACTGTGATGGCAGAGACAAGCTTTGAAGAAATGAATAGCTCAAAGTAAAGGATTTAAAACTTCTTTTTGAAGAGGATCTTTAAAAGAGGTTTACATTAGGGCTACAGGTATTACGTATATCACTGATTAAATCATGCAACATCTGTGAGGAATCATACTCGAACGTAAAGTAAAACAGTAATGGATAGTCAGGAAATCAAATATAAGAAACCTGATTAACTAAAAAATGTCAGGAAATAATACCATTTAAATACTTCCTAAAAATAATATAATTTTGAATTCATTACCCATATTTTTCTGTTTCATTACGGCTTGCTTATTAATGTGAAATTACAGTGATTTCTACTTAGAACTCTTAAAAACACCCAAATGTTGTCAGGGGCTAACTTGTCAGTAAAATTTATCTTTAATATGATCACTACGAAATTCATCACCCAGGTTTCGGTTTATTTTTCAGAGCATAAACGTTTATTAGAAATTTCTAGATTAATCAGAAGTTCAGAAGTTCACCAGAATGAAAAAGAGTTTTCTTAGGGAGGTATAAAGAAATTCTACTTTTTTCCTGGAAATATTTTTGTTAGGGGATGTTGTATACATGGGAAACTCCCTCACACTTTTGCAATCACATGTTACAGAATCCTTTAAGATTTTAGATATGAAAGAATTTACTCAATAATCAAGTATTTTAGGGAGGATTTTCTTTTTTTTTAAAGGACATTCCTAATTGGGACTGCATGTTCTAACTACAAAAAAAAAAAAAATTCCATGTTAAAAATGTCCTAATTTACTTTCCTACTTATTTTTAAAATGAGAGATGTGCAAGGGAAAGATATGGCTCTCTTTCATGAAAATTAAAGAAAAAAAGAAAAAACCAACAGTTTATCCTGACAAATATAAGACTTTGAGTTTCAATTTGTGAACTTCATAATTCAACATAATCAGGCATCAGTTTTGTATTGCTGTTTTATTTTCAGAGAAGCAAAAATATCATATAATTTGGTCTTTTGGGGGAATAACTATCAAAGAATAATAGTTTTTGTCTCATGAAGTCATAAAAATTTCAAGTTGGAAGAGTCAATCATGATGGATAGCAGTAATTTTTTTATGGCTTTCCATATGACTGTGAGGAGGCCAGGGTTCCAACTAATAGACATTTCAGTATCGTAATGGTGGGTCTTTTAATTGTCCCCAGAGGCAAGCTTGTATGTACACATTCTCACACAGGGTATGCATATATACACACAAAACCACACACGTTTCTTTATCCCAACGAACTCAAACAGAGACCTTACAACCAACGTTCTCTCTAAAGATGAGGTTTCTTTTTTTAAGATGATGTTAGTAGTAGTTGTTTTATAATCACTGGTGATTGATTCTAAGATTCTGAGAAGGAAAAGTGTGTAATGGCATTTTGCTAACCATTAGATCAGATTCTTTGTCATGTTAAATTTAATAATACATTTTCCTACTAGCTTTCTGTCTCTATTTTCCTAACTGAGAGGTATCTCAGATGCCCAAATTCTGTTCTTTTATTAAATACTTAACAGGAGTTATTTTCTTATCATTTAAGAATTCCTTCATCGTAGGTCCCCTGCTTTGGTGAAGAGCACCCACAATGTTCTTACCAAAAACACAAATCTTCAACTTCAAATATTCAATGTCCTTACTTCCTTATTCTTATTACATTTGTAAGGTACCGGGGACTATCTTATACCCAAATTCTCTGTGCAGCAGGGTTTCCTTCTTTTACCCTTTAATGAGACCCACATAAAATGGCCAATTAGCTGTATGAATTTAGTAAAGGAGAAGTATAATTTAACAAAATCTTACCAGAACAATGGAATATTGGGAAAAATAATTTTTCCCCGCAGTTCTGAGAAGCTAGTAAATGCTTCTAATCTTCTCATGAAATCTAGGTTTTTGTGAGTCGAGGTGTAAATGAAAGTACATTTTAGTTTCTTATTCACATGAGAAGAAAGAATAAAATTGAAAGATGAAAGAAAAATGAGTTCTCACATACCAGATATGTCATCTTCGTCATTCCATCCAGGACGATTTACTCTCTCTTCCACAATTGTTCCTGTCCTCCTCTTCAATAAATACTGCCGTCCAATTGTCATTTTCCCTGCCCTTTTGGCACCTTTCACAATTGTTTTTGAGAATGTGCTACAAGTCAGAAACCAAAGAGAATGGCAATTTAATATGAAGGTACCACTTATATTTCTGACACCTACATAGCTCAAATTGTTCTCCATTCCCACAGCCACTAGTATTGCCCACACTTTCAGTAAGCCTGTCCTTTTTCAGATAACTTTTTTATATGGCAGTAGACTAATTTCCTATAAAACACCTTCATCATCAGGGAATTGCAAAAAGTACAAGAACCTGATATAATATGACACAAGCTACTTATCACCCCAAATCTAAACTCCTCTGATTGGCTTTCTAGTCAAGCATGCCCTGAACCCACTCTGGTTATCCATCCCATTGCCTCCACCACAGTTGCCACAAATCATGCTCGTAGAAATCCTCCTACATGGAAAGCCAGCCTGCCCCCTTCTCCACTGATTCAAACTCTCTTTCCACTAACTCACAAGTCCTTTTTTGAGATCGAAACACAATTATAGCTGGCAATGCCTTTACTTATTTTTTAAATGTCTTAAGTGTTTATGTGTGGTGTCCTGCCTCTAACTGACTATAAACCTTCTGAGATATAGAAAAAGAATAACATAATTTCTCTTCTTGAGAGGAGAAAAATAAGAAACCAGAAATTTAAGTATTCTTTTGAGAATCAGCTATAATTAAAGAGAAACCAGAATGTAAAGAATTTGGACCTAAAAGGTACTTTATTTATTAAAACAGTTTACCCTTTCTTGCTGATAGAAAATCTCTGCTGGGTATTTACAATCCAGAGAATTAAACAAAGAACTTATTAGTTATTTCCTAACTAATCAGATGGAGGTAAAGATTTTGAGAAAGATTGTTCTTGATTATGCTCTTCTCTACCACAAAGAACAGAACTTTTTTTGTGTTTTCTTGCCATTTGATAAAAAGTGATAAGGATTCTTCTACCATCAAACAGTTTTGCCAAACCCTGTCTTTAGTCATCTGCAATTAAACCTGAGGCTTATGAAACATGTTTTAGATAACTGTTGGGAATCATAAAATACTGATTTTTAATATTAATTCTATTGTAAATGACTTCAGATGTAACTTAAACTCAATGGGATTTTTGAAAAATTTTCCCAGCTAGAGCTATATCTTTTGTTTCACATACTTGAGGCAATTCTTAAATTTTTTAAACTGCTATATTTCTGTTGCAGCTGATATAACAGCTTGGTACAGATATATATTTCTGAAACTAATATAAACATATATATATTTCTGATAGTTTCTAAAACTAAAACACCATATAAAGCTTTGTTTCTTCTACAGAGGGCCGGGATAACAAACATCATAGGCTACTCTGTTGACCCTATAGTGCTAAGAGGCTTGGCTCACCATTGTAAACCCTTAGGAGACTGTTCATTCTTCAGCATATCATACATGGATATTCACGGTCTCCTTCACTTGCCAGGTAATACGGTGGCTAACTATGCAACTAAAAAATGACATACTGCCTGGAACCTCAAATCTTCTGTAATCCCCAATCTATCCCACTTTCAGGCAAAGGAAAGGCCTTTTCTCCAAAGTCTGCAAAGATCTCCCTAATATGTAATTTAGGCAGATGTCCAAATTCCGGGGAATTAATAGTGAATTAAATGAAATTTTAGCCCCTATATTTTATCTCTGGTGGAAGAGAATTTTAAAATAATTGCTATTTTGTAATAACTGAAATTTAAAAGTTTCAACATAAATTCCCCAAAACTTTCATCAGAAAATAGGGTTTGTACTAAAGAAATATGACAACTAAATGTAATGTCTGATCCTGAATTGAATCCTGAACCAGAAA